CGGAGTCGATTTGAAACTCCAATTTGAGACCCAGATGCGTAAAAAAATTGTGTTTAAGCTTATTCTAAACCGCAAAAAGAACGTAATAAAATAGTTCATTCTCTTTGAAATCTCTTAGGCCGAAAGGATCTACCGAACTCCTGTTGATTACACTCGGATTGACCTCTTTACTGCTAAAAGGAAAGCGGCTCTTTTCAGGCCTATCTGAGGTCAAAAATTAAATATATTTTCTCCGACACGAAGACCTTAGCTCGACCTCGTTGCTCCCGATTCAAAAATTATACGAGGCTAAACTGAGGTCAAAATATTCGACTCGGGTTTTGTCGAGTTGAAACTGAGATACGATTTTTAAACTACGTAGTTATATAACAATAAATTTATTGCAATGTACAACAATGGAATATAAAAACGTACCATTGAAGAGAAAAAGAATGTTACGTGCAAAAAGTGAGGCAACAGCGAAATGTTGCTACGAAGTCCACCGATAACAAGAAATAACAAGAAAAATAACCATATAACACAGATTACAAGAAACAAAACAGAAACGTGCGCGCAAAATTAGACATTTTATACAATATTTCTTGTACATTCAAAAAGCATTTTAATTGGCATCTCGCGTATTTGTTGTATGCTGATTATCAAGAATTCTTTTTATAATTTCGCGCTCAAGATTTTCCAATTTTTCTTCTTGCAAAGCACACTTTACGTTTTCGGTGGACTTCGTAGCAACATTTCACTGGTGCCTCACTTTTTGCACAAAATATCGTTTTTCTCTGCACTGGTTGATAATGTTAGATTCGTTTTCTCAATAACCGCACATTGAACGCATCTCTTTAAAGAAACAGTCGATTTTATTGAAATTACCCGAGTCGACATTTTGGTATTATTTTGACTCTTTTAAGGATAATTTACACCTGCATAGAGCAGCAATAACCTACTTTGATGACATTATATTTTTTACTCCTCTTTTGAATCTTTAACTCTAAAAATTTACTTTAGCCTACTTTAATGCTAAATTGGCAAAAGTAGAAATTTCCGACACTATCAGTTTTAAAGTAGGAGTAAATTTTGTACTCGCAGTTCGACCTCTTTTACTGTCTTAGGTCCTACTGTATAATAGAATTAAAGGGTCAACCGAGGGGAGAACCGCTGACCAAAACCTTGTACAACAATGCCCACTAATGCCCAGTGGGCATTACTTTATCTTATTATCTTATTTATCTTGTTTTATTTTATTTTATGTTATTTTATCTTTATAATGCCCCAGCAGGGCCTAATGCCCAAACTACTGCCCAAAAAATACCTAGCAGTGCCCAGTAATGCCGCAAATTTGTACTTTATACCACAATGCCCTCGGCGGTTTCCCCTCTGATTCAACATACGGCCAAAATTTCGACTCGGCTAATGCTCGATGTATTTCTAATGTAAATCAGTATTTAAATTTCGCACCGAACGAGCATCCATATGTTCGACGCGCGAAGATAAAAACACCCATATCCGGTGAGGGGCCCCGGATAAGGGTTGATGGCACTCGCTTCTCGAAACGCGGAGGCGAGAAGAGAAAAAATTCGATGAGCTCTCGCTCTCCCCCCTCCTTGGCCGCTGACGCCTTCCTTGGCGCTCTCGGATATTTGCGGGATCCGTTTTTGCCCGCGACTTCTTTTTATCGGCGTCGCCATGACGTCAATCTCGCTCCCATAAGAGCGGTCGCACATGTGCGAGATTCCGCGCGCGGTGGCCTCGCGGACGAACTTGCAACCCGTCCGTATACTGTTGCGCTTTAAAGAGCCAATCAAAATTCCACGTTGACCCACTTTGTGACTGACCAGCGGCGCTATAACGCGACTCCGATGCCTGATAATCGCTCCCGAACGTGCATCGCGATCCTGCCCGTCACAGGAAGCTATTATCGTCGCCGTGCACCGGCGTGTCATCCAGATTGCATACGAGGCAAGCCGCATGAATAAGGGAGATCCCGATGCTCCGCGCATTCGGTAGAAAGCGATCTGGAAAAAGTTTGCGTTTATCCCGCCTCGAGTTCAACTTTGGAAACGCGTTTTGAGAGATAAGAGATATACAGCTTCTTCCGCGGGAGCGATTCCTCTTACTTGATTTGGTAGCGAAGTGACTTTTATAAACGATACGTATGCACCGGAATCCTCCGAGAAGACGTAGTACCTATGAAATAGACATTCAGTCAGAGAGAAGTAACTGTTTTCTTGGGAGCTAAAACAATTGCTCCGCAAAGTTGCGCTTCCCGATTTTTGTTTTCCCACGCGATGAGCATCCGCGGGAACAACGGCGATCGATCATCTCGCGCGCGCGCGTGTGTGTCCTTTTTTTCCCTTTTGGAAGGCAAACGCTATAATTTTCTTACAGGAACAAGCACTAAATCAGCAATTTACCGTCACTGTGTCGAAAACGTTAAAATGGATGACTCCACAAATCATGATCCGAATATTTTATTTCGGAGCGTGTCGACAGTTCGTTCGCGGGATACCGTATCGTATGGCCGATAAAATAGCACCGGGGCGTTTTTAAACGCGAAAGTGTTGTTCCCGATCAAATTTTCGCAGTCAGCGTACCGAGGATTTATTATCGGCCGAATAATTGCCGATGCTGAATATGCATTTACGCGCCTCCGATTTGCCGATACCGGGCCCGCCGATATTGTGCGCGAGCGAATCGAATTGAAATTCACTTTTCCGCGGCGCTCGCGGGAAGCGGAGGAAACGTTAAGCAATAATTTCAGTCCATTTACCACCTACACAGGAAGAATTAGCGGGCTTAATGTGTAGTTGACAGAATGACGAATCGCGCCGGCCGATCCCCCTTCTCGCCTACGCGCGCAATACGGTTACATTACCACGCTGCGATGTTGAAACGCAACGGCGTATAAAAGTAATGAGTTAATGAGCGTAAAGTTAAATTATTAATTAATAAACTGCCGCGTTAAATCAAGTAATTTGAATATCTGCGTAACGTTAAAATAGAAATTTACAAAATAATGGTTAAATTATTTGCCGAGATAATCCCAAGCCGATAAATATGAAATTAGTAAATTCAATAAATGTGCGACCTCGACGTATCTACAAGTCGTGTCCGACATTTGCATTTTGAGGAGCTTACGCGTAAAATATATTTGGAGATTTCGATGTATAAAATAATACGTTATGTACACGGAGAGAATTCTCTCTTAAAATTTATCCTGCAAATCGTGTAACCGTGGGACGATATGTTATTTCCAAGAATTTTGTGAGTTTTTGGAAATTTTACCATACGTTTTACTAGTAAAATTTTGAAAAACTCTAAAGTTCTTCAAAATGCCACGATGTTGTTCCACGATTACATGATTTTCAAGGCAAATTTTAAGAGAAAATTCTCTCCGTGTATGCATTTGCAGATTTTCATCGTATCGTAAAGTTTAATTGAATTAAATTTTGTTATATACTTTTAAAATAAATCACTCGCACAAACGTTCGGGCCGTTTACGAGCTTGTCGGAATTGCTCTCGCGCATCTTTAAACGGCGGATCCGCCGGATTCGCAGCCCGCTTCTCCTTGCGCGGATGAATGCAAATAGTCGGAGTGGCATCGTTTCGGTACCATCGACTTCGTTCGCTCGAGTCAACAAAAACAAATCTCTATGCTGTCAGACGGGTCGATAGTTTTGGTACTGCGGGAGCGCCGTGGACGGGGCCGCAGTTAGCCGAATTCGCGAAAATAGCGGCCAGACCGGAGATGCTGAATTTACTCGTTGCAACTCGTGCCGATGTCAAGGACTTTCGTCGATGTAATTACGTCGCCGCTGCAGCGAGGGTTGACGTTCGTGTAACAACTGTAACAAACGGGAGCAGTTTCCCGCGGCGCAACCGCGAATGCTGCGACGGAAAGAGTAGCTTCGTTACGCGTCGTTGATCGCAATGTTCGATTGAGCCCAAAATACCGCTCTATTTGCGGGAAGGCCTCTCCGATTTTGGGGAAGGTTTTACGTGCGAGTGCCGGGCGTCGCGCTCGATTGGCTCCGCCAAATATCTCGTGCTTTGCCAAATTTATCGACGTCCGGGCGGGAAATATAATATTTAATACGTTTCGTTGTTTATTTTAATTAAACGGCGAAGTAGCGAAGCCCTTACAGCGTTTATACAATCGACTGCAAAAACAGTCGACGATAGAGTCTAGAAAAAATTTTTTTCAACTTTTATATTTGAGTATTTCGCGTCGCACGCACCGTGATGAATTTAGAGCAGTTTTTTCCTGGTGGAAAATTGAATATGTTTGCTCGCGGTGCGAAATTTTGCGACAGTGAAAAATTCGTTTATCGATAATGAGGGACGCCAGCTTAATGGACGTTAAAACGCTTCGTCAGTAGTCGGATAATTACTTATTGGCGGGCCGTTGAATAATTTTTGACGCCAACGTGGTCCTTCGGTGAAACGTTAAATATTGCATGCGACATACTTTTTTTTGCACGCGCATCTCTTTTTGGCGCGTTGCTTAATTTCCATGTAATCGAATGCATAAAGGTGGAAAGCGGGCGATGTCCGGTGTATGAAAAAAGGATGCAAGAGCAGGCGGCTCCCGATCGATATACCAACATTCACCAAGTATATTCATTAATGCGGAAGCTTCGTAAAAAGCTTTGGAAAACTACGTATTACGATGTAGACTCCGATGCACCCTTTTTTTCAACGTTGCCTGTCGCTCGTTAACACTTGAGTAGTTCTACAAGAGTCACTCGACTTATAAAGTTAGGTACTGGATTTAGTACGAAGTAAAAGCTGCACAAAGTGCCTTTAACACTGCAGGCAGAAAAAAATATAAAATGGTTTTATCGGGAAAGAAAGGAATTTTTCAAAGTTTCGTCGTATCCTCGAATCGTAAATTTACATTATGTCTTTCGCCGGAATTGAAGGTAGAAATGTCCGTCGCATTACGCGCTTTTAAGAACGCGAACGTTTTTACGTCGGTTTAACTCATTCATTACGATTATTGTTGCAGGTCCGTCCGCAGACTTTAGCAGGCACACACTGGTGAGACCGCGAGTGTATCACGGCAGAACGAAAAGGCAGATCTCGTCAACCAAAGAGAACGTGAGTTCAGTTAGATTTTTTAATGAGGAAGTCCTTAAAATCCCATAAAGTAATGTATACGCGCTTTATATCCCGAAGCTTGTAAAATGCGGCTCAGTTTCGATCACGATGTATCGTTACTTGAAAAGGAAAACACTCTACAAAAGTTCAGTGAATCAGCTCTCTTTCATTCCTCTTTGTCCACGGTCTTACGTACAGGTCTGGAAACACCGGTGATGGGAGTAGACTCTCTTAATGTCCACGTTTTTACTTGGATTTTCAGCCGCGTGGTGCCGCGTATGATCTAGGAGTGTCATGTGCGACCACAGAGTGGTCCACTTCTATATATTATAGATCGCTAACTGAAGCGTTGGAAGTAAAGCCGCGTCGCCATCTTTAATGTAGGCAAAAGTTCATTTTTCGCTCACGTCCTGGGAGTTTTTGGAGCCCGATATCTAACGTCTTCACGAGACCTTTTGTTTGGTGCCTACTTTGTAGCCAAAATGGAATGCGAAGAAAGTTGGGCCGATCTTGTCTCACTCTTTCGCCAATGTAACGAATCTTTCTTGTAGAGAGACTCCGCTTTGCTCGCAACCAGTCAATTGTTTGTGCGACAAGAAATTTTAATTGAAACCATTCGCTGACGCTTCACTTTCTTCACCCTGTCCTATGGTAGCCACATGAAATCACAGTTTAGTTACGCTCGCTTCGATTACCAAGCGCACCGGATATTCCGGAGACTTGGCGAAGGCCAAAGCCCGCGATCTGTGACCTTCGGCATGGCGCATTGTTCACTATCAGCCGCGATCGCCGAATAGCTTTTTTTCCGCGAGATTTTGTGCGGCTGCACGCGGTGTTCGCCATTTGCTCGGGTGGATTACGATGCGAAACGCGCATCGGCGACGGGTGCAACAATTTCAATGCAAATGTCGCGGCGTGCAACGAATACAAAACCCGCGAGGGTCGCCGTGCTATTAGATAGGACGGCGCTCTCGAATAGAGAGAGAGAGCGAAAGAGCGAGCGAAAGAGAGAGAGAGAGAGAGAGAGTTCGGCCGACGTTTTTCCATTGCAAGTAACAAATTCGGAAAAATCCATTGGGGGAAAATATACAACAGAGACGCTGCTATCCGAAAGACGGATATTTCGGTTTTATTCTCTTGATGCCCATCGAAGAGCTTGTTTTCAAAAGAAATCAAAATTTTTTTGTGAAAACAAAGAAATACATTTCCGAAAATATATCTATCGTCAAGCGAATAAAACTATTGACGACCAGTTGCAAAGATGTTTGATTCTTTAGAAATCTGTCGCGATTCTTTCTACGTTTTTCATAGACTTGTGATATTAGAAATGGCTATACTTATTGATATTGCTTTGCGACTATTTCAGACTCTATATCTCGAAGTATCTGAAAAATGTTCTTCTCGCGCAGGATAGTGGATTAATTTCAGTATGTTGAAAGCGAGTATTGTACTCGTATGGTCAGAGAAAATAAGAACATCTTTTAGTCGGCTACGCAATAACATTTCCGTTTACTGGAAAGGCACGTAACGTCGAGGAAGATATAAAGTAACGTTTCATTTCTGTGAAAGCTGTTTTGAATACAGCGCCGTTCTTGTACTTTTATCCTATCTTCGCCTCTTTCTGGCGTAACGTACCACGTAATGGAAGATGGCAGGCAGAAGTGCACACTTACAGGAACAACAGCGGAATTTACATCGGGTGTACACACGTCTCGGTGTCGTCTCTCCTGAATCCATTATTTGGCGGGTGCCACAATGGACCTGCACGTACGTCACTTTACAAGTACGACATGTAACAAACATACTCGCGATAGTTCGCATCCCTCTAAATTCCGGCCGATAAAGAAACGAAACTCCACAACTTGACCTTTGAATTTGTAACGCGACCATAGGATTTATCTATTTACCCTACGGTTTTACGTTAAGACTAAATATCCGCATATTCCGGGCAGAAAAGTAGGAAAGATAGAAAAATATTTATTAAATTTGTTTATAATTTATACGCAATGATTCAAACTTACTCTTATATAGATGCTTTTAATTACAATAATATTTTATTTATTATTATGTAGGTACATGGGGAGAATTTTCTTTTAAAATTTCTCCTGAAAATTATATAATCGTGTGACAACGCGGCATTTCAAAGAATTTTCGGGAAAGTTTTCATACATTTCACCAGTAATGATACTTAGTATACATTTTACTAAAATGTATGGTAAAATTTTTAAAAACTCTCATAAAGTTCTTCAAAATGCCGTGTTGTTCCACGATCACATGATTTTCGGGATCAATTTTAACAGAAAATTCTCTCCGTGTATTGCTAGATACAATACTTCTCAAAGTATAATTTTTATCAATCTTAATACAACACACAAGTTTGCCAGAAAGTAAAATATTTCATTGTCAGGCTTTACAATATTAATTTTCCACGCCATAGTTCGTATTTCTTCACTACACTGACAAAAAAATTTTTTTAACAAAGTAAATAGATTTACTTAAAATTACTTTTTTACTGAAGTAAAGTTATCAGTGTATATATGTAATATTACCGGTAAACTAAAACGTACGCAGATGCGTATCTATGGGCCAGGGGACTGGCCATATCGCACCCCGACGAGTAAAGTAATTCTGTCGGACAATATCGCCCTGTTCCGTGAGCACATAAATACAACAATAAAAAATGTCGCGGCGGAATATCACGCGGGTGGCCTGCGTTTTAGTGGGGCGTTCTTATGGGACATTGAAACGTCGTTAACAATTCATTTTATTGGCCTCCGCCCAGCGCAGTCGTCCGATCGCCGTATATTATTATACACGTACAAAGCGCAATAACGTCGCAAGGCAGGAGCTCTCTGGCGTAAAAATGAGGAAAATGAAGAGTTACGGAAAGAATTGCTGAACCGTGTGAAAATTAAAGTTAATTATGTCGCTAAGAACATTATGATTTAAAACAATGGGAGATACGGGAAACCTTGAATTTTTATGTTGAGTCAGAAATTTTTTAAGCGCGTTTAAAATCGCGAGTTACGGCATAACTGTGCGGGGAAAAAAGGGGCCGTGGCGGAAAACAGCGCGTTTTAGAAACCAGCGACCATGGGCATTTCTGCTCTAATTTTAGGAAGCTTTTACGTCGATGGAGAACCTAGGGCAATGTGGTGTCAAGTTCCCCGCTTTTAACGCTCTCTCTCTCTCTCTTTCTCTTTTTTTCCTTTAAATCCGGAAATGCCTGCGCTAACATTTGGAATTCTAGAATTGCGAAACAAACTTCAACCACCGCAATCTCGAATGCTGCGACCACACGGCGTGCGCGTATGTGTACCGCGTGCTCGTTGGTCCGGATAAGAGATAACTCAACACTAGTATCTACTTTGGTGTTGCCAAATATAGTTTACACCGTTTGACATGTGATTCTGCGGGAACGTAGACGTGTGCGAGTTTACCGCGGCTACGCTCGGCTGTACAAGATTCTAGCGTGTGACTTGCAGACCGTGATTTAGTGACACAAAAGTTGCAGCTCGCGTGCACGGCTTGGCCCTGAATAGACTGCGAGGCAAACTTCTTGATTGATGCTAAGTGGAATCGAAAAGAATACAGAGTCGGTCTAACAAGACGATGGGAAAATATAATACGCGCGTACGCGCATCTAGCCCATTGAATTTTGCGGATGTGCAACTAAGCGCATAATCGTGCACAGTAGATCGTCGATATTAAACGTTTCTAGGCAACTTTTGTGAATACAATTGTTTATTTTACTGTCGCAAATTCCTGGGGTAGATCGAGTTTACATTAATAAGCGATCGCGTTAATAAAACAAGCGAGTTTTATTATCTGACGCGACAGATTCTTATAAATAATACAGCACGAAAAGCTGTGATCAATACGAACGTGCGATGGAACGTGTAATTGAAACGTACGTAATTAAAAATATGGAATTTTTCGTTCTGTTAAAGTTTAAATTCATCACTGGTATCGTTTGTCAAATTCGGGCCGTTGATTGTCCGAGTTTACGGCGATACGACCAAATGCAAACTACATAAACCTAGCGATTTAGTCTTCGACGAAGCGAGTAATTGACCTCGTTTCTCGTTATCGCCAGTAGACAGTATCAATCCGCTTAATAGAAACACAGCGGTTATAATTCCCCGCAATCCAACATCTCAAATAACACGCATCCGACTGTTTTCGTATTTCTGCGTCTATTGCATGTGCGTAACACGTGATATCTATTGATTCCGGGATACGAGAATCGTGCCCGTCTTGAAAAGCGAGAAGACAATGCTTCGCACGATGTTTCCGGCGTTCGAGCCTTCCTGCAACGTGCCTAAAGCGAGATGCGGAAAACCGTGAAAACTATGTTTAGATGAGAGAAATTGTACACGGTCGGAAGACGTTACGTCCGGTAGAAAAGATTAGGAAACTGCGAAAGTCTTAAATTCCTCACCGCGACATACAGTAACGAAAGAAATCGGTTGTTTAGTTGTAGCCTGTGTTGTGTTCAGTTAATATTGGTCTCAGTTATACAATTGTCCCGTTATATAATTAATCATTAAATTTCACTGGTTCTCTACATTCACAAAACAACATAGAAAAATTAGCAGAACTTTTTTCTACACACAGAGAAAACGAGTAACTATTTGATTTTGTCTCTCTCTCTCTCTTCACTCGCTTCTCTCGAAGTAACATAATTGTCGCTGCGTTAGCGATCCCGGAATGCTTCAAGTTCATAATTGCTTCAATAATCATTGATTCAGACATAACTTGGAGCATCTCGGGGCTCAAGCTCTCGTGCTGTCGGAACGCGATTTCGCTGCACCGAAATATTATCGACTCCAGGCGAAATCGTCTATCGAAACCTGTGGAGCGCGGTGTCGAGGGGGGAGATGCAATTAGGTGATTAAACGGCTAATATGCGCGGAAGCCGCGGAGTGAGTAAAACGCAATATCGGTCAATAAATTCCCGATGGAGTTCCGTTCGGCTTTATCGCGTGCCACGACTTTAA